ACTTGAAAAATAAACCTTCGAAATGGCCAAAATTGGAACAAGCGTTATGGCTATGGACAACGACAATAATTGAACACAATTTTCCACTCACCGGGGACGCGATTATTGCCAAAGCTTGTGTCTATGCAGAGCGTTTAGGAATAAAGGATTTTATAGGCACTGATGGGTGGTTGTCTAAACATCGGCACGGTGAATAGCGGCCAGTGCATCCCCAGCGGAATGTATAGAAAATGATATAACCTAGATGATGTATATGTCGTATGTAAATTCCGTCACTAAGTAAATCCCGTTTGGGTCCCTAAAAACCGCATTTATATTACGTAAAACCCGTCCAGTGAATAATTTTTCTCGCCTGGTCCAAAGACCACTCCGTAGGGTCCCCCAAACCGCATTTACATAGTGATGGGATTTACATACAACATACTGTATATAACGCTGATGAGACAGGGCTTTTCTGGGCCATGGAGCCTTCAAGAGTATTATCTGATTGCCAAATTAGCGGCCATAAAAAAAATAAGGGCAAAGTCTCTATTCTATTAGCAATGCATGCTTCTGGAGCAGATAAGTTGCCCCAGTATTTATAAATAAATACCGAACGCCATTCCCTCTTCGTCATGTCAATAAAGCCTTGCTTCCAGTACAATATTAAGGCGCATATGCAAGTAAGTTCACTAATGATAAATGCATACATTGTCGACATCAGGTATTAAATTTAATTTCAAAATAGGTATCAATATTTGACGACTGGCCAAGATGGTTTGATGAACCGACATATTATTCTCTCTTAGATAATACGTCAGTGCATAAAATTATTCCTGGAAATGAGGCAACTAATATAACTGTTAAATTTTTACCTCCTGATTCAACTTCGATCTGATGCTGAGATAATCCGTAGCTTTAAAGCACAGTATAGAAAACTATTTGTCCAGCATCAGCTACTATTATTTGACGATTATTATGGAAAGTACGTGTAATTCTCAGAATAAGATCGGCAAATGTAATATAAAGCACGCACGCTATCTACAATGTTCTAGCGGTATACGAAATTTTTTGAGTTAATTTCTAGCGTTGCTTCGAAAGTAAACGTGCATAATAATAATAGTCTTCAATTCAATCCGAATCCCCACCCATATTTCCGATAAACGTTAGAAGAAAAAGATCATTGAACAACGGTTAATTGACGAGACCGAACAATGAGTTAAATTTTGGACAACAAATTCTTTTGTGTATATTCAGTCATTGAAAGAACACATTTCTTAGCCAATAATACTCCCAACAGTTCCGTTATTCGCTGCCGGTGCCCAATCCAAAATCTTTGGCATAATATTGTACTTTTCAACGTTTCGATAACATTTCCTTGCCCCGTCTTTGCTTGTACTGCTCAAATGTCAGACCTGAGCCATAAATATCGCTCTGCCAAATTATCAAATCCGTGGGTACGTTACTCACGACTCCATTCCAGAACTTGGTCCTGGTGAGTACATATCCAACTTCAGGGACACATACTATCGGAGCAATGCGATCGGATTTAGAATAATGAAATCAAGACAGAATAGCAATCGAACGGTTCGTTGCAGGAAATTTCTAAAGTTTGGTGATAATGTCGGCTTTCGAGTCGTGATTATTAGGACAAGCGAGAGGAGAGATGAGGCCTTTGAAATTGGGTAGTGATTGTTTAAGAAGTTTGTCGAGTAATATGTAGGACGTCGATGCCATGCGGTGATCAGACGCTGCAAGATATTTTGTAATTGTTGTTTGATGAATCCTACATCTTTTGCAATTTCGGTCTTATTATGCCTAATTTTTGGTTGCAATAATGCTTTCTTTTGTGCAGAAGTTAATTTTTACCAAGACCCATTACGCGAAAAATTGAACATGATAGAGATTTCAAACAAAGCCGTAAAAGATTGAATCAAAACAATCCATTAGGTAACATATGGGCAAAAATGGTATAAAATCACATGGGCGGTTCCATATTAACAATTTTATTAAATCAGTTAAATTTAGACCGTACAATACTTTGCACATGTCTTTCTATTTGCATCACAGCTCGACAAGTTACTGTAGTAATTAATATTCTCCATATGAATTTCAGCATAGTTTTCGAGAAATTCTTCCCGGTCGTTGCAACGTTTTTATCGATGGTTACCTTGGTCTTCCATAGCGGCATTTGTTTTATGTTCCCATGAACGCGTGGTATTATGCCATTCGTTGCTAGATGATTTCTGACGTTTTCCAAATGAGTGCGGCCAATTCCTAATATATTGAGATACGTTTTCTGACAAAGTGGCGCATTGCGATCTCAATAATAAAAAAATTGGTTTATTAGTACGTGTTTTTTTTAAGACGTCGACTGGTAGTTATCTCCCCACCATTTATCGTTTTCAACTACATCATTAGAAATATATCTTGCTCAGATCTAGAGAGAGCTTGAAGCGCCTCACGTAATTCAGCAAACTTTTCTCTCGAAATCTTTTTGAACAACCATAATTGCAACCTATCTCCAAGAAATATATGGCTTTTTTACATTCAGTGGAACTATTAGATTCATTAGTTTTATCATTCATGTATAATCTACATGTGTGTTTAAATAGGGCATTAATTTGATAATTGCGTTGATTAAAATTTTAAATCAATTGACCATAGTTTCTCTTGCACAATTCATTTCCAGTGTCGTGCCGAGAGCAGATAGTAATCGACACTTGGGATTTAGCTAGTCTCGACGGAATGTGGCGCCTCCTATTCTAGTTAAATTTCTGGGATCTCGTTGATTCAAGGCTTTTCACTTACGAAAACCTTCCCGTCGTACGCTAATCCTGGATATATTAATTGTACTCGAGTATGTCTATCGGTTACTATCGTGGGATAAAGTCGATAGTCTCCCGTCTGGGGTACAATGGTGTATAAATTATAATAATGCGCATCTACATAACAATTAATTATCGTAATTTGCCACTCGAATAATCGCGGGACAAGAGGCGAATATTCTTCATCGATATAAGGGATTAGCGGTTTCTCAGCTATACCGATAAGTTACCAGGGAATGAATCATTAACATGAACTATATTCTATCAGTTATTCCATAAGTATAGAACCAAATGCCCACTATTACTATGACTCTGAAAACGATCAAAATTGCTGATCCAAATCATAACATTATATCAGTTCGTGGGCATAGCTCGCGTTTTGTATATGTTTGAAAATAAAATGTCATAATCAGCTTTAATTCCTGGTTGACTCAACTCTGCAGTTAATGAAAGCCCAGTCTTTATCGTTTGATACATATAATAGGATGCCCGCCAGACGTTATATGATACTATGAAGAAACTTACGTACGACGCTCTTCACGGTTTATCAATATAATAGAATAAAATAAATTACACAACTCTGGATGCAGCCGGAATTCTACAGCGCTTTGAAAATTGAAATATACTGTATTATTATATGTGACATAGAGTATGTCGCAGTATGATAATATACATTATATATGCCTCTTAATTATATATTGTTGTGTATGCATACGTTTGTAGAGGACTTAAACGCATTTACGTGGCGTTGATGTCTTCTTGTATAATAATAAATAAGAATGCAGTATACAGCATATTTTTTGTAGATAATGAATGTTATTTTGTACCAACATCAATAAATCTAGTCAGCCAATTTGGTAAACAAATATTGCACTTTTGATGCTAATCAACACAAGGTTAATTCTGTAGCCATTATCAATATTATTGTAAGAAAAAAAAGCAGCATTAAAAATATTGATTTTTTTGTACACATGTTACAAAGTTAATATTTATCAGTATTAGTATGGCACAACAGTTGTATTTAAGATACCTCATTTTAAGCTAAAAAAGTTATAGATTTTATTGATATTAATCAAATGAGATCCATTCACCATTTCTTTCAATACTTGCTTCAATGCTCACATTGACTTTACTAAATTTCTTAAGGAATGACATTACATTTCTCAATTGTAAATGCCTCTAATTTACTATAGTTTAAGGCTTTGTTTTTTCACCCTATTTTTAACAATAGCCTTAATTGATCAAAATTAAAAGCTGCAAATTTTTAATTTCTCCTATTACCTTTAATTAAATAATTTTTATTAAATTCTTTGTGGGTTGTTAAAAAAGGTGAGCCACAAATGGCGTTAATATTAATGCACAATACACTTATACTTGACATTCAGTGAAAACATGCTTATCTAAGAAATTTTCAATCAACTTTAATATTCAAAAAGCTGGGAACATTTTCAAATTCACAAGTTTTATACGATTGCAGTGTCCAAATATAAATAGTTAAGTCAGTCTGCAAATAGTTCATACATACAGCACACTCTTTCTAACAGTATCTGGTAAAGGTACAAATATTAATATAGGCATAGTAATAGAAACAATAACAATTTCTATGCGTTTGCTTTTTGACGAAAGCTTCTGATTATGATTATATAAAGAGCAGTACTGCTATAAAAAATAAGTTTTTATTTTAAAACTTGTGAGTGTATATTTATAATCCTTTTTTTGAATATCAAAAACGATATTCCGCGACGGCTCCAACGTTACATGACGCTATAACCATAACTATCGTAGATGTTAATACTAACACCAACCTTCCTTAATTGTAATTCAATAGTATAAGCAGTTGCGATTCGGCTATACTGTAACGTGTTGGCAATGTCATGTTTGCGGCAATAACTCCTCAAGCATAAGTAAGCTCGGTACAGTTGTGAAAAATACAGTAACTTATTCTGTTCTCAATTTTGTCAAGTAAATAGCACAACTAGCTTTCAAAGGACACAGATATGGCTAATAAGAAAAACAACAACAACGTTAGCATTCAGGGGCCTGATTCTTTTCGAAATCTTGCTCAATAAAGAAATATTCGGTAAGCGAATTTAATTAGATTGACTAAAAAACGTCAAGTGTTAATAAGTAAAGCAGAAATATGCGGATACTGTGTTTTATTAAGCATCTGTTTGTTAATACCTATTCTTCTTCTCAGTCATTCTTGTTAGTAATTATACCCAATCGCATGACTTTACTATCCAACGCAGCTTGGCTAGTCTTACGCAATGTAGCTTCCTTTTTCTTGCGTTGTCCCGACTTTTTTAGTATTTCAGCTCTGATGCGCCTTGCTCTCGCCAACTGGACACATGACACAACAAGAATTTATTAATATTGTTCAATTATCAACAACACTTTATCCTTATTTTATCCACTTACCTCTTTAGTATTATGTAAACATTCAAGATAATCCTCAGACTGCAGTACGCATTGTGTGGGATGGTCTGCCATAGCATAGCATTTTCGCAGTTCTTGCCAGAAGGTAAAACACCTGCTTTTACCACCGTTGTATCCGTATCCTGAGGCCACTGTTTGAACATAATGTGAGCATAAGCGCAACAGAGATGATAATCAAACAACAAAGACTTCGTAATGTTTACAGTACTTGGTATGTGACTTACTTCGAACGATAAGGGACGAAAAAGTATTTGCAAGCGGGTAATACATAATTCACGTGATAAATCAACCGTGAATCAGTTACACGAACCGTATTTAACACTAATACTATTACTATTAAAATTCAAGAAGATATTAACGATGTCCTCTACTACGCCAGAAAATATCCCAAAGGTATGAGATACCCTTGAGTGACTTCCTTTCTTATGACTTTGCCTTTTGTCTCACTTTTATATCTGAACCTTTGAGCAAAAGAAGTATCTTGCGTGAAAATAACCAAGTCTATCTGATGTCCTTTACTTGTGAAAAGGATATTCAAACTCTTCGCATACTTCGTGCTAGCCTTCAAAGTGTAGATATATATACGAAAGAACTTGTTAAGGATCTTGAAACAATGACAAAGAATTATGTAACTATTACGGAGATATATGAAGGATGGAAGCGTGTTGTAGAGCAGGGGAGTGGAAGTGCGGAGAAAAGTTGAGAGTGTAAGTATGAGAGTGGATATCAATTGATAAGTGATTCGCGCTTTTTATGGCTGAACGTAAAGATGTTCGATATCAATTTGTTGTTATATACAGTTGTAACAATAATAATGGACTTTATAATCTTTATTTGTCTCTAATCGTTAGTTTTACATTTATTATCTCTTGTACAGATGTGGTATCTGTTCGTCTTCTATTAATACATCAAAGATAATGTTACACAGTAATAGTACACCGTAAATCTAAAACGAAAATTATATAGAGGATAAAAGAAGAATCTTGTGAGTATTCCAACTCAGTCGATCGATAATATTTATACATAGTTACTAATATCGCTGATTTTCATTAAATAATTGTTTGACATAGCACTACTAATTAATAATCAATAATCTATTACATCTTCGATTAATTATCCGCAATACGTTCACCTCTCACCATCTCACAATTGTCCGATCCCCTTGTTTGCTTACGCCTTTAATGATGGTCTCCTTGGTCTATTCTCTCTTATAAACAACGACAATAATAAAATCACTGCTGCCATAATGACAGACACGCCGAAGACTCTCTTTACTGCATCTAATATTACTGCGATGATCTCTTCTTTAGCTTCCCCAGACTTTAGGAAATCAAACGATAACACATCGTTCACATCTTCGAACAACGGCGCTCCCTCGGCCGTAGGCAGATTGGGAATTTTCTTCAGTATATCATTGTTAAACACTGCTCCAGATACCATCATCCCCGTCACTAACCCCGTACATCTAAAGAAATTACTCAATGCTGATATACTAGAGTGAATCTGATCAGGTAGAGATGATGATGCTTGTCCGGTAACAGCAAGCACCATTGACAGTACACCGATGCCAATACCTGCAAAAAGCATACTCAATATTTCCTTAACTAACATCTCACCGTCTGTAAACGTCAACACCAGCACCGACCCTACAATTACCAGCATTCCACCAAAAACAATAAACATTCTACCCCACCCATATCTCAATACAACTAATCCAGATAACATCCACGCTAGAACAACACCTCCAACAAACGGTAGCAATGCAATGGCAGACTCTATTGCACTTTTCCCCCCGACAAACTGAAAGAATACGGGTGAATAATACATAAACACTACTTGCACCCAACCCAAGAAGAAGAACGATCCGAACACGGCTCTCAATGGATATTCTCTCAGGAGCGAAGCACTAAGCAAAGGATTTTGTGAAAACTTGGCTTCGATAACACAGAAGCAAATTGCGGTTACAAGTGCTACAGACAGCATTGCAATCGCTTTTACGCTAAATGTCTCTCCTGATGACAGTCCAACACAGAATAAGATCATAGTGGACATCAAAAAGAAAATCCCGATCCAATCTATTCTTCTCAACTTTCCCAATACATTTCCCTCTACAGAAGGGACTTTTATCGAAAAAGACAACAAACACATTCCCACGAGCGAAAAAGTCCCCGTCGAATAAAATGCCCATCTCCAAGAAAATTTTTCTGCTAGTAAGCCACCAATTATTGGGCCCAGTATTACTCCTACTGCAAACACTCCGTTGATTACCCCATTAAACATCTTATGTTGCTGAGTAGGAAGTGCATCGTGAATGATTACATATGTTAATGGGATTATCATACCACCACCGAAGCCTGCCAACACTCGGGCGGAGATTAACCATGTTATTGATCTTGCTGAGCCGGAACCAAACGAGCCGAGAGAAAACAAAATTATGGATACAAGGTAAGTTAGCTTCTTACCGAACATTTTATAAATTGGGGTGCAAAGTGGTTGAAGAATAGTCTGTGAGAAAACAGGTGATGAACGAGGCAATCGGGTGTGGGTTAATCAATGAACAAAAAAAAACGAGAATTGAAAATTCAATGAATATGATTATTAATAGATTGTAAATAGTACGTACGCTTGGAAGATTGTATGCCGTAATTATCAATGCTATGTCTCTTCCCGCCGTAAATTCATTTATTATGGTTGGTACCATTGTCCCTATTAGATTTAGATCTAGCGTAGCGAAAAAGAATACGATTGACAATCTAGCGGAAAGAAGTCAGGATTCAAAAGAAGTATTAATCAAAAATGCTATCCATGAATTTAGCTGCCTTCCCTACTCCTCTCCACCGCAAATTTACGTGCCAAAAAAAAAAGAAAAAAGGCTTGGCTTACTCACCCAATCAACAATAACACCTTGACTCTTGTCGATACTTGAACAACTATATAGCTGCCTTCAGTCGACTTCCCCGATGGCCTTCGCGAACTCACTCTCGAATTCACTTTCGAACTCACTTTCGAGTTTCCGTATCCATGCGAATGTGCATCATCTTTGGACACCCTTCTCGATGACTTTCCCGAAGATATTGGTTTTATTTCGATTTCACCCTCAATTTCAGGAGACAAAAATAATTTTCTGTCTTTGCCATGTTTCTCTTCGTTCTCGTTCTTGTCTTTCCTCTTCCTTTCTCTGTCAGGCATAACGCCGCCGCTTGGCGTAGTGATCAATGGAAATAAAACCGAATCAGACTGAAATATATTGTCAGTTGATGATTTGTTCACAGTTGCATCTTCCGAATGGGGAGGCATGGTAGTGCGGTGATCGGGTTTGTCTTCTGAGTCTAGTGATGACGATAGCCAGTCCTCTTGTTTAAAACCAACAGTTATGGATTTGAGTTCTTCTTCTGCAGCCTTTAGTGATGTGAAGTCACGGGCTGAAGAAAGGTTTCGCTTTGTTGAAATGGAATTGAGTGAAGGCATGGGAGGGATTGGAGATTTGGAAGTTTCACCTATTAAAGTTGTGCTGAAGGGTATTCGTTTTTGGGACGATACGTCCGAGGTGGCAAGTGAAAGTTCGCTTTGACTAGCTTGCAACAATGCAGTTTTTGTTGGATAAAATGGAAGGTTTGCAGCTGACTCTCTCGGAGTCATGTAGATAGATTCGAACTTGGAACTTCCCGATGAGTCAATTGACGTGCTGTGAACATGTTTGCGAGGTTGCGGTGACCTTTGTCGAGTTGACTCTGAAGTAGAGGAGGAACGGAGAATTGGCTGTGTTATCGAAGGCGGCATAACTGGTAATGTTGGGAGAGGGGGCGTTTCTGATTCTGCCTCGAAGAATACATCCTCTTCTTCTGATATGCCTCCCAAGGAGGATTTCGGTGTATGTGTATATCTAGACATGTGGTGCTATAAAGATATATGTCGGTTTATCAAATTACTAAATGTTCTATTACTATACTTTTAAACATCAAAGTTTTTTTTTTTAAAATTTTGTTATTTGTAGAGACGAACATGAACGCCAGTATAGTAGCCCCTTTGCCTCTAATACTCGACATATGTCACAAGCACAACAAAAATGCAATTATTAAACGCAATGAATAACATAATATCGCATTCGCTCAGAGTTAACTTTGTGAACCCTTCCACTCCACACATATCATGAATTTATGGTTGTGTATTGCGCCCGTTTTAGGTAGTTTCATTTATGATAAAATATCCGATTGGTTGTCCCTTTCTCAGAACCCATGATCGACGGTTAATTTTCAGGTTGAAGATGTAAAGACAACATCGGCTACTTATGGGTATTTAGTACGTACGTAAGTATATACAATGACACTCCATTCTGTAGACTGCTTGCTTGTCTTGAACGTAAAGAAAAGGATGTTTGCAATTTCTATGATTGTCTACTAATACTTGTTGCACTTTGCATCTTAGCGTCTGTGTCCATAGCTTATGCAATAATGATCAGTACAATTGTATTACAAACGTTCTTAGGCATTCTAAGTATTAATAATAGATAACGTAATTTGCTGTTTATTCTGTATGTTAGACATTAGCTTTTCAATTTCCATTTTTAGCTAAATACATCAAAGCAAGACTTTCCATGTCGATGGGGACGTAATTTGATGACAAAGTCGACAGCCCTGCATTATGATTAAAGTTCACGATATTGCAAATGATGATCCGTTGTTTTCTGGTACATTATACATAATGATTGCATTGAAAACTGATTCCTCTTTAAACGGAAAAATGAAACGTGGTAAAAGAACTTGCAGTGATAAAACGTATACAATTACACGTGTTTACCAGAATTAAAATCGCCCAATACTATATTCAATGGTTTAATAGTCGTTGAGTTTCTTTAGTAAAATGTACGTATAATATCGCTTGATGATCTATAAAAATGATAGCTCACTAAATGCAATGACTTACCTATTAGTGAGCGATGTTATCCTGTACAGCTTATTTCCGAAAAAAAAAAAAAAAAACTTGCGCGAAAGACTATATCTTTTTATCCATTTGTTTGTTTGTTTGTTAATTATTTATTTGTATCGCGCAAGTTAACTCGTATGACTGATTATACACGCGCTGAACGCATCAAACCCATTCTTTCCTGTAGGGTTGATTTTCAGTTTTATGTAAATCATTTTAAGAGTCAAGAATGAACATTTCGATGACTAGCCCCAATTCACTCTGTTCAAATAATGTCTATTAAAAATCTGCGATACTACGGATACAGCAGTTCAATGTTATTATTTCTGAAAGGTTATAAAGATTTGCTTGGATGCGTAAATTTGTTGAATGCGATACTACTTGCTCTTGTTCAGCGCAGCGTTGTCCTGTACATACTTTACTTCGTGAATTAATAAATTTTTAATACTATAATAATAACTTACTAATATATTATTCTATCCCACCACTCAACCTTTATTAAGCTATCCGAGTTTAGCTAATTCCTGTAGGAAAGCTGTCGGGTTCAGGAGTTCAGTAGATCCATACGTAATCTTCTTCTTCACGGTTTGTCGCTATGATAAAGCCAAAACACAGATTAGACAACAAACCAACATTCTTGACAATCCTGTACACCAAACTAACCTGTGCGTATTCTTGCAGATTCTGATACTCAATATAGTTTCCGCCACCAACGACAAACACAATTGCCTCTTGGAATGCGTGTCTCTGCCTTTGTTGTTTATTAGCACCGGCTGATGAGCGAGCCGTCTTGGGATCTAAATACAGATAATCGTCTGTATCATTTGTACCAGCAGATGGTTCCATAAGAGATTCAACTACTTTGGTCAGTGTCAAGTCTTTGCGTGAAGGGAGCAAGTTCTTGACACCAGATATTAGATTGTCAAAATGACCACTGAAGCCGCCTTCTTTTAAACGGTCCGTCAACTGATGTAAAGTAGACGTTAATAATATTTGACATTAGTAATTACTATCGCATTATTAAAAACTGCATCAAGTGTGCTCATTCCACCGTATTATAGAACATTGAACACCCCAGTAGTCACTGACCTTGTTCCCAATCGAACTGAAGCCTTGGAATAGTTGACTAGATTGCCCAAATCCTGAGCTCGGTGGCCCAGTTGTTGACAACATCGTCATCCTGGTGATTTCACGTACTCTACAAACAAACGCAACCTTGTTAATCAAAATAGAATAGCCTTGCGATATAAAGTCGTAATTTAGGAACAAACCTTTTAGCATAATTTAGTGCTGATAGATCACATCCAGCCATCCTTAACACAGCCTCATATTCAACCATATCCTCCTTTCCTATTTCATCAGCTGTTAAATAGTAAATAATAAAGAGTCTCAACTTATCCTCGGGCGAATGCTTCTCCGGGTCTCTGAGAGCTTCGATTATTGATAGCTTATTCTGTCGAGCAATTGACTCCTCCATTTGGAAAAATGTATCTAATTGCCGCTCCTTTATTCCCTGTAACAGAGAAGTAGCAATGTTCATATGCATATCAAGCGTCTGTTTACGAGCAGTTAGCTCGGGTAATGCGGTTATGGCTGTCCTCAGGTGTTGAGTATTTTGCGTAAAGTCCATTGGGTTAACATCGTCAATGGAGTTGACTCCACTCAATTTAGTTAACTCTGCTGCATCCAGTTTATATTTGTTAAGCTCGATATCAATGTCTTCAGCAACCTGTGGGAATGGACTTGCTGCATTTTTATTCCAAAAGAAATCTTCTACACATAAATCATAACTTTTTTTCACTTTTCGTCCATGTTCGTCCACCTGCACGGATATCCTATTCAATTTCATATCCAAAACATCATCAATCAATGCTTGATAAGTCCAAGAATGACTAAGCATAGGGATGAGATCAATGTTTCGATCGACAATGATCAATACTGGCCGCTGGAAGCTCATAACGGATGAACCCTCTGCAAAAAGATTATTACGTGGATTTAGAGCATGGTCGCGTAGTCGAACGTCTAATTTACGAGATATCATCTCAGCTGCGTTTTCGCGTGGACATCGAATGATGGGAATCACGCCCATTGTCACTAATACTGAGAATAGCGCATTCACTGTTTTGTCGACTGCCTGATCTATCGTTGTTTTTGCAGCAGTCGGTGAGTTCAGTTGATAGTAGACGCTCGGCTGGTTGAGAGAGAACAAATTAGGTTCAGATACCAAGAAATTCAGGTACTGATCAAAGACTTGTGAAATAAGATTGGATGTATTGTTCGGAATAGTAGCAGTTGCAAGCTCCTCTAGCAGCGTTCTTGGTATTGCACTTGTAAAATTAATATAATAAGACTCATACAGACTTCTAGCCAGGTCCTCACTTATTCGCTGGACGTTCTCTGAAGTAGGTTCTACAAAGTATATAGCTGGTACGTCTGAAATTGGCTGCCTATCACTTTTCAATAGCATATGAACGGTAACACCATTCTTCCGAAGATCGTTCACTTTTAATACTGACGAGATAACGTCTCTACCAAATTCATCGAATATAAGAACTTTCCATACGGTTTCAACGTCGACAGGTGGTATTGCAGACACTAGATCTGATGATGAAGAGTTGTTTGGTGTCTCTAACTTTGTATTTAGATTAAGCATTGTGACTATTGCTTCTATTTGCTGCTCTCGCAAGCTAACTTCCTTCAAGGGTGAGGCCATGATGTAAGGATGATAGACAAATCGCCACTAGTTTATTGTTCTATAGTCTATTATACTTTTATATTTATAAATTCAAAAAGTACGGAAAAGTGAAACGTGGTCGACTACTTCCAGTGAAGCATCACGTGATTAGACTACAAGAATTTTATTATTATGCAAACATAGCTTACACAGACAATGTTTTAATAATTTAGGTTCGCTAGCTTTGTTATTCACATAGATGGATTTTCCAATCGTTTATCATTTCAGGTCCTCATACTTTTTGTATAGTATTATACTCTGCTCTAAGGACACTGACTCTCCGTATGCATGTTGAGTATTTCCATCGACAGTAATTCTGGCTAGAATATTCATACAGAATATCCTGGACGCTTCTCACATATCTTCACTTAGTATAATTGTACTTGAAAGTTATTTCTCTACCCGTTCATGCATAAGCAATATTGATTATGATTAAGTGTTATAATGATGATACAAGCATGTAAACAATTGGGACTTGTTCAATAGTGCAGCAATACTTAGTCGTAGTAAATAAATCAACATCATCGAAACATTATATGCAATTGCTCAAAATAACCTTAATATGTAGTTTAAAAATCACAACAGAACGGCTATGTAGATGGTGGAGGGAATCGCATATAAAAGGCTCATTCGCCTAACCCGCTATATTAGCGAGATAATGCGACTCGCCGAAAGGTAGCAAAAAAGAAATTCTAAGAAAGCTTAGTAAATCAAGCAAATTAATCGTAATAGTAAATTTACAAGAAAATTTTAATTGATAAGATAAAATATAGGAGAAAAAACAAGCAAAAATGTAAGCACTCTTGCCTTGTTTGAGGCAAAGTTAGTTATCAGCTCGATTGGCATCTTGGTTTAACCTTGAAAAAATTTGTGCTGTATCAACAGCAAGTTGACGATTGAAAGACCAGGCATTTTGAAGAGTGGGTCGGGAGAAGTATCTCAGCTAACATGGAACATTATGCAACCCGCCCCAACCTGAGCTTGTACTATGGGATTGGACTTCATTACCATTGTCCGACCTACAGAAACGCAATCGCAACCGACTCATACTTACTTGAAGCATCGCCGTGCGAGCAACAAGTTCGTAGAGAATCAGAAAGTAGCAGCAGTAGCAGCGGTAGCAACAACGGAATCCGATCTATTACCATTCCGACCAATGTCAGGAGTTTTCTCCTTCTCAGCCAAAAAAGATTTCAAAAGGTAAATTATGTCCTTCCATAGTTAATAATGAGGGGCAATTAGGACATGCAAGTTTAGCATATCTAATGAGTATTATTTATTTGTGACGTCAATACAGTTGTCTATAACGAAGTAATCGATAATATATATCAATCAGCCTTCTCATAATAATCGTCAAAGTAATTTTTCCCCAATCCTTCCCTTTCGAAATCCCAAGTATCGTCATCGTCATATAATATCTCTGCAGTATGAATGAAGAGAAAACAAAATATGTTAAACCACCGCCATATGAAGTTTCTACCGTCTAAATATCCAAAATGACACAAGAGTAAATGTGTATAGACAGCAATGAGCGTCGGTGTGGTGATCGAAGTAATTAAATTGAGGAATCTCGGACCCTGGTTAAACCAAGAAGTGTGTGTCGTCAGTAAACCGTAAAGGATCCAAACCTTTATAGATATAATCTAATCGTAAAGAATAACTCACAATCTCTTCGTCGTCTTTGTGCCTAATCCCAGTCTCGGCTTCCAATCTCGCTTGCTTAAATTTGGATACAAAATAAGCAGCTGATATGATAACGCTCATGCGATAAACAAGGGCCACAAATACTTCCAATGCGAGGGTCCTTTGGATAGCCGATACGAATTTGACCGATTGTACGTATTCGACGGTCAAGCTTACAACATGTTCGAAATCCAATTTTCTAAAAGGCACGGGAGAGAGACATGAGGATGATGCACAAACAGCAAATAGACCGAAACACCGTCGTTAGTGAGCCATTACCTGAATATTATCAACGGCAGAGGTAGTGAACTGTCCGATTGGATTGTTTCAGTCGGCGATGGTTTATTACGCGCGTGTTGCCAATCAATGGACATCATTGAGATGCAATATACTATATACGTAAACTAAAGAGGTAACAATTAGAAACCGCGATAACCATGAGTACAAACAGTCGAGCATATGCTTACCATTAGTGCAGTATCCGTGATGACACCTTTCCGGCTGAAAAATAGGAACACAGTAATGGACAGTGTTAACGTTAGTGATACCCCCACAAGAGTTGCTGACAATGAATCTACCCAATTGGTATTATAAACATAGGTCAAAGCTAGTCCAGATGCGAAGTATAAGAGCATTGAACCTATGAATAATGGAAGCTGTGCATTGAATAAACAGTACAGTTCATGAGTGTCATCAGGATATACAATAAAGTGATGGTGAAGCCGGTGAGTAATCTTTGCGATATTTCATATGCTACCTGTAAATGATCACGTTTCTTCACTGCTTTCCGACCCACTTCTAATACCAATGATGTCGCAAGGCCCTCTATTAGTATAAACACAGGAGCGCAATAGGCTAATATTGATTCATATCCCTTAAGCATCATGAGCAATACATCTTCTTCACTGCTTTGTGTCGAGGCATATGTCAATCGAATGGAGTGATACACAAAGTAGGGGATTAGTATGGGTTGAGACATTGCCAGCAATTGGGGCTAAAGGCATGTTAGAGAGAACAATTAGTTGAATAACAATAATAAATGCAATCGCCATCGTGCCCTCACTTACAATAACCCAACCCAGAGTATTTTCTTTCCACCATATTGCTCGTGCTATGCTCAACGCGCCAAAGTATACGATAAACGCAAAAGAAAGTGCCAGACCAGTCACACGCCCTCCTAATTGAAAGGCTAAAGGTAACAACAAAATGAAGAATAGACGAGACAATTGACTGATTATTGAAAACACTATCATGCTGTGACGAAATAATCTAGAGAGGCCTCGCCGAGGCACGAGCAAACGCGCAACATTATCAGAATCACATGACTGATGAGAGAATGTTATGCCACGTGACATGTGATAGTCGAGGCAACCTAAATTTGGGGGTACTTGCCTTGCTACTTGCCGATCTACCAAAAACGAAACTTTTTGCACGTGGATTTTCAAGTATATATAGATACTCTCTACCAGTCCTGATTTAAATATTTGATTTCGATATTAATATTGTCATAACTTCCTAAATCGTTCTCTTCACATCTTCATCAAGATCACATTCGCACTCTACACTGATATAAGCACAGAGCTATGAAAAAAACCACGTCAACGACTGCAACCACCTCAAAAGCCACAGGTAGAGTTGGTTACTGTTTGCCTTTGCATGATCCAAGGAACTTGACCTTTTTTCCCCTCTTTTCAGGCAAGGATAAGAATAACACGAACGTTTGGGTGTTGACGATATACTTCTCCGGGTACAAGAGCTCAGAGGATGATGTCAGCAGCCGTTGTTTCGCGACCAGGGAACTTGCAGAGGTGGCAATGAAGAGTGAAGCGCGGCGTCTTTACAGACTGTCAAACATTATCCAAGAGGCCAGCGATAAATACTTCGACGAAAGCAAGGACAGGATAGATTTTGGAGAAAGTTTGGATAGCTCGGATTATAGGCGTGAATTTGGTTACTGCCAAATCGAACGCGTCAAACTAGAAGTCGAACTAGACGAACAAGACGTGTTCGTTAGCACTGACGAGGATTCAGATGATTAATGAAAGCGTGAATGAGTAAGTTTCCTGGTTCATGATGATTGCTTTGATAATGACAGATTTGTAAAGTTAGTAGTTAGTCATTCGTCAATTGCTTTTACAGCAAAGGACTCTGTAAATGACATAGAAGTCTTATGCAAGGGTCATTCATATTTTACGTTTGCATCAGATAGCATCGCCATAACATACTATTGCTACTATCATTTTTGATGGTTGTTCCAGCTTTATGCAGTTTTCTAGCATTGTGTTGTACAATCGAGGCGCGCAGCTTTGTGATTCGGATCACAGTACTTCATGCAATAAATAAAGTGTGCATCTTCTATTCATAAGTAACTGGTGACGTGTTAATGGTAAACTCCCTGATCAAGTTAATAAAGTACCAGAATGTACGAAATGCTCCAGAAAGGATTAATAGGCAAAATTCAGTTGTCAAAAAACACCCATTCATAGATCAGACTATCGATTAAGACGGTAACGCTTGACAGATATTAGTAATTAGTACGCAGTTAAAAGCAGCTACGTTTTCAGGCGATCGAGGCAATTTAGGACTCATGCTTTTAATCCGGAATATCTCTTCACTGATATATCTACAAAGATTTTAGGTTACATCTTCCACTTTTTTGATAATGACTCAGAAGTGTCAATGTTAAGCTGTCATAATTGTAGAAACATTTTGAAAACTCTTTTGGTAATATGAACTAGGATTATTGCTCTGCTGTATGTAGCTATGCCAATTTGCTTTTCAACATTATACTTATCACTGGCAGATAATAGTGACGTATTCTCCACAAACACATTCGCTGCGCCAGTATCAATTGACGGGTAAATGACTACGCGATGATACTGTAAATCAAGATACCAACGTAATTCGATAGTTAGCCAATGGAAAATAGAACTGTATAAAATTAAATATATGAAGCTTCTTTATATTAGATCCCAAAATCACGCTCTCTATTAAAACGAGAAAATTGCTCCTTATATTTTCAAACGCAAGGTCTATCAAGAGGAAAATCAGAAAAGGCTTTCAAGGACGTGGCAGAATTATTTCAAAAACCAAGAGAGAATAAGTATAGTATCTAACTTCAAGTAATCATATTTTTATGAGTCTGCCTGGCTAAAACTTAGGTGAGTCCTCGTTTGGCATTATCATGATTCAAGCAGATACAGTGAACCCTCTATTAAAGCACACCATTGGGAATGCATCAGAGCGTGCTTGAATAGAGGGATGCATGGTTAACAAATTTTTATTAATTATATTAATATATAATAATAAGTATTATTGCTGCTGATTAAAAAACTCGTCTATTGTCGTTTGTTCATCACATTCATTGATTTTAAACTAATGTAACGATCTAGTGCATTAATATGTTTTAATAATTCTCATGCTGTTGCAGAAAAGAACAAACAACTGCTTGCAGCAATTTACAATTGGTACTGTATATTGAAAAACGATGGCGCATGCTCGTTAGTGACGCCGATGTTATACAAACAAAGGACAAAAAAAAGATTAGATTTACTATCGTGTATACTTACTTTTGCAAAATATTTTCAGATTTACTTCAGCCTTATATGTAATGTCTCACTCCAAATGACCATTTCTGCAATAAATCCCGACCTGAATTCAATGATCCGTTCTGGAGCTGTTGTCAATTCACATACACTGTCTGCCTTACTATCTGTCTCAGCTTCTTCATAAATGTCTCCATGGCATTGATTTTAAAAATGTATAGAGCAATTTCTTCACTCTGTTCTTTTTTAAAATGTTTCTAACAGTACTGTAATTCTTTGGTTCCATGGTGGATTTGATATAAATTAGTTTCATATATCTTATTATTATTTATATAGAAGTAATTCTATATTAATTATGTATAATTTTTAGATAGTATGGAAGTTTGCTACATAAATTTGTGTACAAGCTATTGCTGTGAGTAATCAAAAATGTCATTAGTCAAATCCATTAACTTTCAGCCACACCAGCAATTTTTAGCCCCAATTAATGTAACACTAATTTGTACGCCTGATGAAATATTTTCAACCGGTGTACATGACTTAGCCATCGTACGAGACTCAGTCATTTCATTTACAAACACAAAATATTTAGTTATATAGTGAAATAATATATCCATTCTATCTTAAATATACTACTCGAATTTCATATAAATAAAGACGATGAATCTTAATGATTCATCACTCATCGATTGAAATCAATAATCATTGAGTCGAATATAATTGAAGCAGCTCGACCTGGAGTTGTCAAAGCCCAGCTGGTTGTTAATGATGCTGAATTAATTTGTTAAAAATTAGAAAAGTAAGCGTTTCTGAAATTACCAAAGGAATTCAATCCTAGTTCTAACTCTTCCTCCTTTGAATTATAAAAGACAAGAATATCTTTATCATAATATTAGTTCATTTATTAGAGATAAATTCAAAGATATTACTTGTTCAAGACCAACTTATACTGGCAACGAATAAAATATTTAGACTAAATAATTTCAAGGCTCATTAATTTCCTCGCTATCATTGAGTTCTCCGTCTAATTTAAACGAATATTGATAGCTTTTCCACTTTTAATTTTTGAAGCTTAAATAAAAAGAAATATTAAAATAATTGTATACTTAATATACCCTCATAAAAAGAATTTAAGTATATTAAAAGAATAAATAAAAATAAAAAGGGAAAAGCATGGCAAACGTAATAATAGCAAAAACTCGAACAGAAAAATAAAAGAAAACGAAATTTAAAGAAGCAATTAGCAGACAAAGAAGAGAACTTTAATATTAAACTAAGAATTTGAAATGCAGTTCACAATTTTACTGAAGTTCAGAATATACTGGTACTGCTTTAAGAACCTTGGAAAGATACACTTGACCTAACAATGGTTGAGTAAGTCATCCAGAAAAGAATGGAGTTGAAATTGGAAGAGTTGTTTTTAGCAATAAATTCACTACTGAAAATGTTTTTCCGAGAAAAGCACAAATTATGAAGAGCTTTTAGTTTTACTTATCAAGAAAAAAAAGAATTAGAAACAAGGATAGAAGAGATAGAGGATGAAGTGGAAATGGAACGAAAAGGCATTGGATGAGCCAAATGTCTGAAACAGTATTAAAGCACAATGCTGCAATGGGCAAGCTTATAGATCGAATAAAGTCATTAGAAAATAAATTTTTAAATAAAGATCAAGAAATAAGCAGAAGAGATTATTTAGCAACCAAAGAATTACCAGCTTTACCTAAAAAACAGAAAGAAAATAGATTATGCAAACTCAAAAAATTAGTAAGCAAAGCCAAAGAAAAGAATAAGGAAAAATTTTAACTTTTGTTATTCAAAATAACAGTGGACTTGATGTAACTTGGTTTCATATTAAAATTTTTATATAGTAATAGACATAATCCTATATTAATTATGTATAATTTTTAGACAATAATAGAAGTTTACTACATAAATTTGTGTACAAGTTATTGCTGTGATAATCAAAATGCTATTAGTCAAATTAGTCACCTTTCAGCCACAACAGCCTCTAATTTATGTCTCATAATAGAATTAGAATGTTCACATTGTTTGGTTTTGTTGCAGCATGCCCATTTTCAAAGTCGTTATACGATAATAAGAGAAAAGTCCCACGGCATGGTAACTTACTCCTCTCACTATTTTTCATGTACTTTACATAATTATTCTGGAATCCAAGCCTTTAGCTGACTTGATTTTGAATTTGACTAAAAAGCTGACAGGCTCAAGATATGCCAGTTTGGAGAAGGATTGTTTATTTGTAAATTTTAAGTCATAGAATTATCATACTTGATAGGTCTGGTCTGGGAATACATCTTGGTATGTTTTATAATAACATATCAATATATTAAAGAAGTTACTGGTCTTACAATATCAAAGATCCATAAGTCAGTTTATCGACTGCTACTGGCTAACAATTACCCAATGATACGTATAAACCGACTTATCGAGTCCGACTGTGTATTAAGTCGTTGTTATAAATTGAGGACTCATGTTATGTCCCTGTAATATTGTTACGGTCGGATGGTCTGAGGCGATTAATCTTTCGCGTAGGAGTGTTCTTCCGACCGGGGGATGTTACCAGATTTAGCTTCGTGCTACCGCCCTTATTACGGTAATTGTTCAATTAAGACTGAATTCTAAATCTACAAGTGACCTTATTAATATTATATATATTAAATTGCGCGCTTCCTAATTCCCTATCCGAGCTTCAATCCAAATAAGGGTACCCATATTCTACCGCAAAATCAAAGGGGAAATAAATATTTTTTAAATTGAACAGGGCTTTCTTTGATTTGGTATTTCGACTAGTCGGTTCCGTCACTTGTCTCTAAATAACTAATTAAACAATTTTTGTTTCAATAAATAACTATTGGCTCTCGTTCCTTGATTAAGAGTAATAGATTAACGGACAATTTATGCAGCTTAGATAAGCCGTTTATGGACGTTTACAGCTTGAGTGAGGCGTTTATTAGTGTGTCCGGTCAAATAATTATTTCAACAATGAAAGAAAGTAATGTTTCGATTTCAAAGGGAATCGTTTATTTGATTATTATTTCGTGAAGTGGAAATTATTGTTCAATAACCTGAACAATATTTTATAACATATTGACAACATATACAACATGAGAATTTGACGATGGGATAAGGGTCGCTTATATACCTTTAGCGACACTCAAAAAATCAAAACAGAGCTAAATAATCGTAATTTCTATAAAAAACCAATCATATTCTAAATTAGCTAATGGCGTTTGTGCTGACACTCAAAAATCTACACGTACACGGTGTATCTGATACTGAAAATGTGCTGCCATTCTAAAATTAACATTGATCATGGGGTTTTGCTTGACTGCGGGGGAAGATTTTACCATGTGACTTGCTTATCTGAGCCATAAGCGTAACAATATGCTTAAGTTATAAAAGGAACAAATTGAACATCGAACAAGTGATTGATTATATTATATTGGGATGATGTAACGGAAACTACAGTCAAAGAGGACTGAGGATTTTAGCAGCAACTTGAGAAAAGACAAGTGGGTGATGTAAAGTTTTCTAAGGTTAGTAGTTGAAACTCAAAATAGGTTTAATTTATTAGAAAAAATTATCAATACATACTTAATACTTCTGCAATCTAGGAAAAAGAAATTTGTCATTAATGTTTTGCAGAAACACAATGCTGTTAGTGGCCTATTACTATTACTATTGGCCTCTGAAACTGAAGGTTCAAGCCAATTTACCATGAATTTTCCAATGGCAGCAACCTTTCAATGATAACAATGCAAATGGGTTTAACTCAGAGAATATGAGAATAAAGATGACATAAATTGCTGACTTATGTGAGCTGCATATGGTGAAAGCTGACGCCGGAAAAGTGTTAACTTCAGATGAATAGGCAGAATGACAGGCACAAGAGGAGAGTTATTGATTAAAAATACTGAAGATGAGGTGTTTATACAAGTGAGTTTATCTTTGTTTTATTGTTCAATACCATCAAAACTTGAATTGACAGTGATCAGATTAATCATATTCATATTCATATAGTGTAGAGTCACTAGTCTACAGAATCCACACCAACTGTCATGCTGAATACTACAGGAGAGCAGTCAGTAGTCAGTAGTCAGCACTAGGAATTAGCTACTTTCGAACGGAATGTGGCTTTTCCTACTTATAGTATACAATTAGTGGCCTTTAAAACACTAGGATTTTTACACTTATGACTTTACTATGTCGATGAGTGACACTAATCCTAGATAAGTTAATTGTCCTCAAGTCACTCATGGTTTCTATCACGGGATTAGTCCAATAGTGGACAATAAGTTATTTTCAAAGAATTTTATACTCGTAAAACATAATATCATAGAAAAGCTTCAGTAATTTAGTGCCCTTTACATTTTAGCTTCTCAATCAATATGTGACTAGATCAGTTAGAAATTAAGACAAATAAACTGGTATTTATATAGAATTACGTAAGGTTAATCTCATTTTGCAAATTTATAATCGACCGGCTGGAGAACGGTACATTTCATGCTTTTGAGTAAAATCTCATCAACCAGTGTGCGAGAGCGATATTTTTTAATTAATAATGTTTGCACGCGTAATTATTTTTTTCAATTATCATGGTAACGTGCGGTGAATGGCGTATATTCTTCCTCACATTTCTGCGCAGTTCCGATGATATCACGGACATTCCAGGATCGGTGCACGATGAAATTGGTAAAACCTGGTTGGCAATCCACGCCGCAATAATAATAACAGTCGCACAATATTTTAGCTCTTAGATTAATTTGGTAAACACGGACAGCTGTACACGTAGGCGAAATGGTAGATGTTGGCAGTTCAGAAAGTATTTAATTTCCACTACGATCAGTGTGTTTTCACTCAATTCAATTTATTTATTATTTACACATATGATTATTATTTCATTCTCTAGTATTATTCCATATAGCAGAGAAATCGTTAATCTTCCGCGCAATTACTCTTGTGGTAAATAAAATAAATACTCGTTGTAATGGAAGCGAGTTTGGTTTGATTAGAAACCAAACCCGAACCTATAGACTACCGAAACTATCCCATCGGTAGAGGATAGTGACAATACTCGAGGACGATTATTTAACATCTATGCATCGACGTTGGATCATGAGTAGAATAAAAGCCTTGTTTAAAAATCACTAACTGTTAACTTAAGCAGGAGAAGTTACATATCCGATTGTAAATCAGTGTCCGCTCTCCCGTGATTGTCGACACGACAATATGAATTCAGATTTACGAATCCTTGAATTAGTTTAAGGATGTTCTTAGGTAAGGTAATAAGGGCAATATCGCTTTGTAAATATCGGTAGCCAATGTACCGTTTTGGCTTTTTTTTTCCTCAAACGTACTTTTAGGACTCGATGCCCGATCAAATTTGGAAATTATTGCCTTAACTAGGTAGGGCATCGATTAAATTGGAAATTGTTTATTTTTTCATATGAACCCCTAACTTATTTTTATTAATTTAATATGTCACACAAAACCTAAATACAGTCTGATGCCCCTACCGCTACTTATACGTTTCCAAATTGATCGGCTGTTGAGAAGGCCTTTAATAATAAACGCAGAACATAATAATAACCAACATGGACATACCAATCATGTTTTCTGTCGTAGAAAATAAATACTTACCTGCCAAATCTGGTAACTTGTAAGAATGCCAATTTAATCTTTGGTCCAGATGAGGGGCAATCCCCGATAAGATTAACTTTCTGGTTGGATGCCGGTGCAATAAGCCATATTTGGTTAGGAAATGCCGAATGATCGGCACGCATGAAATTTGGATTTGGGAATGGCGATCGGGGATTTAAAGGTTATGCTGTACTGTACCATGCTCGTTGCATTCTACGGTATCCGCCGACTCTAGGGACATAATTCCTTCAATTGACGGTTTGGAAAAGACTGCAATTTTTCTATATTTATAGACATAATCCTGATTGGTTGTTGTGATCGTTACACAATTAATTGGATGCAATGCAGTATTATTATCAGAATATTTTGGCAAAGAGACATATAACCGAGCACAATAACATTGATTAGTATTCACAGTCATAATTGCGATATATTCATTTAATTTGTGGTCAATCATTTCCAATCTCTTTATAGGGAATGGCTATCTGAAGCGTCTCAAAATATGTAATCAGCAATGTTGTACGGACGTTATACAAGCGATTTCCATTACTTTACTTCATTGCAGCTGCAGTGAAACAGGTCATATGTAGACAATTATCGACTTGGTTTAGGATCTGTTTGCTCGTGCTTGTATGAATTTTTTCCTTGCACGTGGGAGAGAAAAGTAGCCATAAATTAAATGTGTTAAATAGACTGCGTTTACACCAATTAAATACAGCAGACGTTTACTTTTCATATACCAACTTATGATGTGAGTGTCATGTGTGATCGATCGTTACATGCTGAGCATTGAGAGGCTGCATCCAACCCAAGTTTAATTGAGGTATATATGCTATTGTGATTTCATGTTCCCAGCGTGAGTTGATGCGTGTATTCACATGAACTTGTATGAAGTAAATATAAGGCAGAACCGAAAAGACAGACTGAAGATATCGAGGTTATCAAAACAATTGCAGTAAAATAAACGATTTTATATTTTAGCTCTTCCCGATCCGCTCATTTTACACTATTTTGATACTTTCATATCGGAACGAATTTCAAGAGATTTGACAATAAATACAATAATGAAATAGTTCATTTGTGCTATAACGGGCAATCGGGCGTCTGGTTATTAACGATTCGGGTGTGGTACAGTTCAGGAAAGTTAATCATACGATATTCGCAGCCAATAACAGTTAAAAAAAAAGTGGCGTGATGCCAAAACCAACAACGGAATATTGGATTAAAGGCTTTAATTTGCGTAATACGAAAACGAGTCAAACTGCTGTGTTGCAAAGCGCGACTAATTTCGCACATCCAAGTTTATGGCAATCATGACGTAACGTTAGAATTATCAGTTGAATATACCAAATTTACTCAAAATAACTCAAAATAGCCCCTATGATAATTGGAAGTACAATACCATAAAGGGATAAACTATTGTCACAGCCGAATAATACGAAATTATTTCAAACCCGTCGCAAAACCCTCCATTGTCGAAACCAGTTTTAAGTTTACGAAATCTAACCTTATCTGTGACACTATTGAATATCAGAATTGCTTGTTTTAACGATGGTTGTGACGTGGATCTATAATAATAACAACGGACTGCTTACGGTAAGATGATGTTGAGACGAGTAACTTTAATTTTACGCTAGGAACATTAATAATGAAACACAGGCTGTACCCTTCCCAGTAACATATTGTCCCTGGACAACTTCATAAACGTAAATTGGTTTATTTCTCTCTGTTTCATCCTAGTCAATAAGTTGCCGTATATCGATGTATAAAGGGGGTAAGTTCAAATGACAGAAATTTCCATCGAAATTAAAACAAACCAAATCAGGCGAATGTGCTATTCACTTTAAAAACGCTCGTTCGTCGCTTAAATTAACTCGTACAACAATAATGAAGCCTTTTATGTACAACTGGAAATGACCATAGCATCTCTTTGCCCTGGATATTTACATAAGTCTTAAAGACTGTTGACTGAATCACCCCCCAATTATCATGATTATGTGCTACAAAAATCGAAAATTCCATACAGTGTTGTCCAATGACTGGCCCATACGCTAATATTGGATGACAAGCTCATGAAACCAGGAGTCGCACAGAGTGCATTGTCGTTTGATGGATGGCTATGTCCATCATCCCCTTTACATCTTTCCTTTCTTTCCAATATAGAAGGTTGTTAACTTCTTTATCAGCTAAGACTCAAATAGTCTTTTGATCGTTCTTTGTCTTTGAACATCTCTATTGGTTGCTGGAACAATCATTTATCTTGTCCAACTTACTAAGTCTCTGGTTACTACATTCTACATTCAACTGCACGCTTGTCTTTCACGATTTACTCAGTCAAGTACTACAAAAAAAAACCAGCAAAAAACAAACAACACCATATAAATATTAACGCTCGATTATTTTTGGATAAATATTATCTGACCGGAAACTTATTACTCGCCATCAAAGAGCAACGAACCACATTTACAACAAACACGTACACATTCTCTCTATTAAACTTTTTGTCCGGGACCATACACCCATATAAATGGCTTTAAAGGTTAATTCTGATATATTTTGTGAGCGTGTATAGTTAATTTATCGGAAATCGTGCATTTGTCTACGACGAGCACACCTTCTACAGCGTGCAGAATATCTATGACAGAACTGATTGTTCGATTATAGACTTTGGCCACCGTTTCTTGTTGTCTCTAAACTTGACGCTGACCAGTTTATTATATTCCCTTAGTATGAATTAGAACAATGGGCCTCTGCTGTTGCCGCTTACGAAGAGGACGACTTTAACAGAGCTCTCGAGGTTTTTGAGGTTAGTGCGACCATTTCATTCTTCCTTTCTGTTTTTTGTACAGAATTCGTCTGAATAAAACTAATCTTTATCGTTGGTTTGCTTTCATGTCGATTACCAGAGTATTGCAGACTCTGCAAAATTTCATTTCAATATGGGATTGATATACGCAACCTGTGGAGAGCATGAAGAAGCTGTAAGTCGTAAAACGAGCTGTGTTATGTGTTCCGGTGATTAAGTCGTTGTTTAGGTCGTTTTTATTGGAATTTGTTTGCCGTCTCCTCTAATATTGATTGACCGGGTCTTGCCTTGTAATGTTAGTGTCGATCATACGAACAGGCAACCAAATTGGATATATACTTTGCAGTAGCCTACTTTCAAAAGGGTGTCTCCCATTTTCTATTGAGTGATTTTGAAGCTGCACTCACGAGTTTCAATGACGCATTGCTTGTAAGCTGACTTTTTTTTTTTTGCTTTGTTCATTTTATGCTCTATTGAACTGACGCTAATCAACTATTTATATAACAGTATCTTCGCGGTAACATGCTGATAGATTATGAGCAACTTGGTCTCAAATTCCGTCTATATTCATGTGAAGTTTTATTTAATCGAGGGTTATGTTATTTGTATTTGGGTCAGACGGAAAAGGGTTTGGATGATTTTGCTTATGCTGCGAAAGAAAAACAAACTGAAGAGCATGATGTAATTGATGAAGCTATGAGCATTCAAGGCCAGGTAATATATTATATAATGTCATCAAAAGGAACTGACGGGAAAATGCGAGATACAAAACATTTTGTATGAGTGTAGCATAATGTTATAGTAATATCAATAATGGGTTGGGTTGTCGCGAACATTCGTAAGTAAACCAGATATCAAAGATACGACTCTTATTATTAACGCTTTCAGCCTTGTTGGATTTTTTGTTTTAGGGTTTTACGGTATTCTCCATTCCTGTGGGAGTAATCTATAGGCCACCAGAAGGAAAGTTGAAAAATGTAAAAACGAAAAACTATCTAGGGGAGCCGACATTGATTGCTGTTGTCGATCCAGGAGATGCATTCGTCGGATTTACAGGTGCAGAACAGATGAAGGTAAATGGAAATAACATTGGATACTTTCACCCGTCAAACGGATATTAACGATTCTGCCATATTCAGAACCAGCAAATGAGTACAACAGCACCAATAACCAAGGAGCGAACCGACGGAAGGGTCGATTCGTTTGATGGCAACGGCTCGCGTCCAGGATCGCCACTCGATCGGCCACGCTCATTATCAACAAATCCGCGCAATCCACCATTCCCTGCTATAAGCACACGTCCAAGTATCCGGCGCCAACCGCAACGTAAGAACACTTTACCAACGACGAGAGAAGCTGCCCCGCTTGCACCAGGCGGTGGTCGTAATGCTGGCCCGCCTAAACTAATACCGGGTGATGAAACGGGGGGAACACGCCCTCTTCGTCGACCAACTGATATACTTGTTTCTAACCACTATCGATCCAACACTATTGACAATGGCCGTCCATCTCCAAAACTTGCGAGTGCTCGTCAGAATTCTCTTCGGAAAGTGTCAAGAAATGGATCGCTTCGACGCGAGCCCTCACCTAATCCATCTGTAGCGAATGTGGGATTACCTTCCCGAAGACAAGATTCATTGCGCCGCGATCGATCTCCAAATCCTCGAGTTGAGCTTACTCCATCAAACGACTATCGGCCTCCATTCATGCAAGGAAAAATACCAATCCAACAACAGGCGGATGAATCAAACGGTGTTTACCCCAACGCGTATCAAAATTTAAATCCAGGAAACAATACCGACGATTTCAATCAATTGTATGATTACATTATGAATAATGATGGTTATTATGTGGATGGAAATAAACCTGATAATAACTTAACATTGTTGAATGGCAGCAGTGATAATCAAGGAGTACGCATGATTCAATCGCCTCCCGATAATCAGAAGGCAGCCGGATATATGTTATCTCCCCGGCAAGAAGGCATGCAAGGTCTCGAACTAAGTCCTGAAGATACAAGAACATATGCAAGTATATTGTTCAATCAAGATGGCGACGATGCATATCAATATGGAGATGAAGATGATACACAATTTGTCCTATTATCCCCTAACGCGAAGAATGGTGTAAATCCGCAAATTACAAGTGGAAAGAAGGGTTTGAAGAAGGAAGATAATTTTAAGGTATGTTTTGACATTTCGACGTAATTGGTTTCGCTAGGGCACTTTTCGGCGTGTATGCTAATAAATATTTCCGGAATTGCTGTTTAGATTCGAATCAAATGCTATCATAAAGACACCCGAGCCTTCATAGTACCCAACACTATAACATATGAAGATCTTGTCAGGCGAATTCAGGAAAAGTTTGGTAATCTCTCACAGTTTAAATTGAGATATAAGGATGACGATGGCACAAAGGTCACTTTAACTGATCAGGAGGATCTGGAAATGGCTCTTTCACATGCTGCCCCATCTTCGGACGGCATAAGGAAGATGGAGGTAAAGTATAATTACAAGTATCTTTTTAAATCTTGTACTGTTTGTTCTGGCTAATTGAATTTGGTTATTTACTGTAGTTATGGGTAAATGACGACTAATTACAACTTGTATCTAATACATCCTAACGGCAAGAAAAAGACGTACTTATTGATGAATAACAGTAGGACATTATCTGTGAAGATAATATAAAAAATAGATATTTGTGAATATTGGTTCGGTGTTGTAGTTTATTATCAGCATTAAATGGCATACAGCATTGTCTTTCGATCACGGACGGCATCAACAGTAATAAAAAAGTAATAGAAGCATAAGGCGAGTGAAATTTTATATTCCACGTGACCTAGCGTATACATATTTATTAATATACTATAATTGTATTAGAGGACAAAAAAAAAGACGTTTATTGTAGTCAAATAATAAAAGTAAAACATTTACATGTTGCAAGGATAACAGTATTCTTTATTGATGTCACTTGAAGACTGGATATGACGATGTTTTTGTTTCAAAAAGGTCTTTTATAGCGAGATAGTATGAAAGATGATGATATTATCCAAATAATCAATACGTTTCACATCACATGATGTTTGATATTTCTAACAGTTCTTGATGGCGGTCGCCCACTCTTAGTCATCAAAGCGAACAATCTCTACAGCCTTCTTAGGTGTTTCATATTGTTCATAACGTTACGCATGGTATTACGTAGTCGGCCATAGCAGTAAAAACTCCCCCACATGATAAAACAAAGCATATGTCGTATTCTGCTAAGCGATGTACCATATTTCTCAGACTCAAGCACCTGTGGTATCATTCTCTGGATATTTTACTCGATTATTTGAAACATTATCCGGGCTTTTACAAACCGAAATTGCTGAAGGGTACTTTCCTCGAAGGCAATTTAATCAGAGATATTCTAAATTTGGCTTCTTCGAATTTACGTGGCCAATTTATGTGTGATACTTACTGTATGTTTGTATGTGCTTTTTGCAGTTTCAAAAAATTGTCTTGTCAAGGATTGTATTCAAAGTTTCTTGCAATTCACTGGGGTGTTTTTGTTACGCATACTAATACGCGTAAAAGCGGCGTAACAAAGCGCGTTGACTAGCTTGATTGTTAGTTCTTATTCTAACGTTTCTACTTGCGCGATCAAGTTTTATTTCATATCGCTCACTGCAAGTAACAATAAATGCAACAGCAACGATGATTTTTGTTATTATCGATATTGTATATCATATCAAATTCTATAGCCAACTTGGTTAATTGACGGTATTTATAAATAGGTATTCGCTTTCTTAACATCCAGTTTGTACGACAATTATATCGAGCATTGGCACATGAAAAAAATCGAACGCGTGCTTTTGTTCAGTACGATAGAACAATAGATAATGCCAAACATACTGTACTGGCTCATGATATCGATTCCATAAATCTTTACGATTACTATTTGGGAAAATAAACTGGACACCAAATCTCAAGGAGTGACGAATACTTGTGTATAAAGAGAAAAGACGCAAGTATTTACAGTGTGTAACAAAAAAAGTAAAATTTTACGTGACGCAATTTGCGGCACTGAATAATATTCGAAATGGTGGTGATGCTTGGACGCTATTATTATTAATGGTTTACCAAGACAATGACTTGAAACACGCAAACACTGGGCGAAGAAATTTCCATTCTAATACCTATGGGTAATTGTTAAGCAAAGCGTGGAAAGACAAACACTACTGAATTAGAGGCATTTGCGGGGGGTGAGGAACAGAGAAGTATTTCGGATAATGCTGTAATTATTTTGTTATATCAATGTTTGCTGTTGCAAGTTTTTTCTTGAATGAAGTGTGAATTCGAAACTTCGCTTGAAAAAAAGAATACATTACAGTTGCCTTACCATTACTGGTTCTTGAGAAAATTATCAACTTTTGTCACATGCATGGGTAATGAAGCACCTTCAATTGTGACCTATATCAGTTTTTTAACGGTATATCGGTTATTTTCCTGCATAAATAGAATGTAACAAATAAAGTTGCACAATATTTTTGTGTATATTTTTAACCCAATGACATACATGCGCATATTAATATGCACGTACAACATATTAATTAATCTATCAATTATTGAAATACTTCGGAAGGTAAGAATCCCCAACTATCAGCTGATGTTTACCTTATTAAAAATTTTTATTTTATTCACACGATATAGTAAACAGCGTTGATAAATATTATGTCATAACACGAAATGATGTGAAAGGTGCAATCAATCGCAACATTTTAATTATGCTCGCGACATACACTATAATAATCTTTAAGATTGTTGACAATCGTTCGACGGGGAAAGAAACTACTACGACGCTTAAAATCCAAACAACTTCTTCCTGTCAGCTTTACTCATACTTCTCCTCAACACATTATATTCAACACAGACCATAAACGTCTCATGCTTTCACACAAAATTACTTATTATACAACGCTACTGTTTCTCGGTACAATTAAAAAACTGCCACCACCACTAATAACACATCCAAAGTCAACTCCAGTCAAACCGGTCGAAAATAAACCACCCAATAATGAATTTGGTAATAAAATACTGCACTCAGAAAATAAATGTTCAATATCCTATGCAAAAATATTACCACCGTTTTCTTTTCCGTGCTAGTATTCTAGCCTTTGTTGTGGGCTGTTGTGGTCGTTTGATGCAGGCTATTGTCAATGTTGCGGACAGCTGTTGTGACCAATATTTTAGTATTTTAATGTATTTCCTGGTCGTTTGTCACAAATTCTCATGCCAAATAGTATGTTAGTATTATCCACTTTAGTCTAAGAGTTAGTACGAATATATGACATGATAATCGTACAATAGCAATGGTGTTTGTCAGTAACAAAGAAAAAAACAAAGTTGTTTATAGTATGACTAGTAAAAACCCGAATTTCATACTTATGCACATTCTCCTGTTATTAAAAGCACATAAAATCAATACCATCCTATTTAGTAAAAAGACGGTTGAAATGATTACATATTCATTTACTGATACCCCGACAAATTAGCGTCAACATCAAAGACACAAAAAATGGAACAGAAAAGTCTATTGACCGTATAAACGTATAACAAATGATATGTATCAAATAAAAGTTGATGTGTAAGATTTTAATTGGCATAAGTGTCTTGTTTACACTAGATCGGTAGCGGCACTATAGGCGTTGTTACTAGTATCGATCGTCAAGCCATGCAAGTTCATGTAACCTTCTAAATACAGGATACAGTCATTTCTCAAAAAAACGTCATACTTTACCATTAATGTCGATACAAGAATATAACCGCTTGGAACAAAAAAACGTATAATGTCATCGATGCAATGGTGAAATATTTATTACCACGTACACCTTCCCACTCAATAAATAATGATAAAAAAAGCAAACACTTTATTTCCCAAACAAAACATAGTATTTCCCAAACACATCGACTTTACATCGACTAATTGAATACATTGACATACACAGATTATAACCAAAAAATATTACATCATGTCATGCGTATCTCCCATATTGCTCAATGCACCAACTATGTACCGTTTAGTAGAGTATCCATTAATGTTCGCATTAACGATAAATGGAATATGTGTTATCAGGGTAACAATATTGCCTATAATCAATCTTTTTTACACCAGTTGGAAATGTTTTAACTTTCAAGTCACGTTCCACAGTATTTAACTTTTCTTCCGAATATAAACAAACCCAATAAAGATATACGTATGACTTAAAATAAAGTTAAAGTTAGAATAATTGAATACATATGCACACTAGGTCATGAATAAATAAACCATACTTACTGTTACACGACTGATAGCAAATTCTATAATAATGTCATCTTTAGACAAAACGTTAACCACGCATGGTAAAATGTATTCAGCAAAGTGGTCTTTACATTCAATGTCCATCTCCTCACATTGTATTTCTTCAGTTGATGTTTTTATTGTTGTCTACAAAATCAAATGTTTATGCTCATTATACAATTAAGATTAAAGAAAGGTGGGTTAAAGAAGGTTGGGGGAGGAATTCGACACTTACCGTCATTGCAATTGTTGTCTCCCAATGATTGAACAACAAAATGCTGAGTTTGTATTTATTTGGAGGTACTTGGAATATGGGTACTGTTAACTAATATGCAATCGTTTATTAATTGATATTCACAACATTGTACAAAGCGTTAGACTATTTATATTGTATTGATAATGAAACACTTACTTTATTATTCCAATAAAGGCGCAAACAATACCCATAACTATTAAATAATAAACATTATACATTAGTAACAATATTTTATAACAATAGGTATTCTTATAAATTACTTACTCATAGCATTTATTCCTCTCTTCAATGTGACTTTCAAATGCAAAATGTGCTTTCAGATGACCTATAATAATAATAAATATAAAGTAATTTAGTATGCATAATAATATATAGATTTATGCAATCAAGTGAAGTGTAGCCCCTTACTTTTGTGCATATAGTATACTTTTTCATAGAACGCGTCTGTATCTGTGTGATTATGTGTAGTATTATTATACTTGTTATACCAAGTTACAGCAGTGTTATACCATCTCGTGTAATCATCTGTTCTAAACTGATAGTTGCACAGTAATTGCCATTGATTGATGTCATTTAACTTATCCATTGCTTGATGAGGACAACTATCCACAAGGAGTTTAAACCACTCCACATCAAAGTACTCAGGTTTGTTTACATATTTGTTGATAACATCAAATGCCTTATCTTGCCAATCTGGATGACTAATATGTCCAATATCTTCTTCAGCCTTTTTCTTATTCCCCAATTCTATATGTGCCACTAAACTTAAATACCGTGCATCATCATAAACCTTGTTTGCTTCAATTGCTGGCTCAATATCAAACAGAGCTTTTTCAAAGTGTTTCATATCCAACTTGATTTTTGCTTTGTTACATAATACTATATAATTTGTGGAATCAGTTTGTAGTATTTGTGAATAAATGTTCAAAGCCTTTTCCAACTCATCATTTTCACATGCACTTTTAGCTTTTTGAAGCAACTTGTCTATATTTGGTCTTGGTGTTGTTAATGATTTCAAAATTGAATTCCATGTGGGTCTTGTTCTGTTCTTTCCTTTTTGTTTTTTAAGGTCATCACCAAATATTTCTGAATCTGTAGCATTGCATCCAACCTTGCCTTGATAATCTGCATCTGTTGTAGTAAAATAGTGTTGAACATTGTTGTATATAGTTTGTTGTGGCAAATAATACACTTTATCCTTTCTAATTTCACTTCTGCAATAAGGGCACTCCAAGTTGTTTAATGATAAAAGAACCTTTGAGCTAATAATATGTTGGCAATTAAGCTGATAAAAGTCACCAACTGCTTCACAAACAATAGCACATGTTAGATCTTCTGCAATAAAGTCAATTGGATTTTTCTCAACACCTTTTCCTTTCTTTTTCCCTTTGTCTTGTTGTTTCTTATTTTGAGAACTTGTCATTATTTGGTCTGGTAAATATTTCAGAATCATTTTTGACTCAATTTCTAATTTCTCTCTCAGGTAATAATACATACTAACCAATCTTGGTATATACTTCTCATCACAACCAGAAATATCATCAGGAGTTGTAACAAACAATTCATTGTTTTTGACTTCAAGACTCAGTAACACTTCAATTGATTTGAATTGAATAGATTCAGTGATAGCATTTTTTAATGAGTCTAATGCTACGTAATAACAAATAGCTTGAGTAGTTGGAGAAAATGTTTTCCATACAAGTTGCTGGATAATATCTAAAACGCCAAACCAGAGTTCATCACTAACATCCTGATTTTCTGCTGCATTTTCAGCATAACATAAACTGATATGATACCAGAGATACTCAAGAAGTACTCTTTCTTTAAAGCTTGCTGAAATGATAGACTCTTGTTCACACCATTTGTCAAGACTATCTTGTAATATAACAAGTTGTCTCCAGGTTGCATACCATGGCTTACCTGATGGTTCAATGTGGAAGGCTTCTGCTAGATATTTCCATGATCTCTCCAAGTCAAAGTCACCAAGAGGGACTTCAACTCCTGTATAAGATTTAATCCCAACTTTAGCCAATCCAGGAACAGCAACAAGTAAACACTTTAATGCTGCAATGGCTTGATCAACATTTGTCTGGAACTGGTTTTTCTCATCACAAACATTGTTTAATGTATACTTAATGAGCTTGAGAAGGTATCTACTATTGTAATTATATTTAAAGTTTTTGATAGTTTTGTCTGATTTGTTAGATCCTGCAAATTTAAGTTCCCAAGTTTCTCCTCCATGCTGTATAATCTTTGAATGTGCATTCTTGTATTTAGAAGTGGCTTGTCTAATGACATCAATAAACTGACATGTAAATCGACACTTATTCTGACACATCTGCTTCAGTATAGTAATAATAATATGTAGTCGCCATTCCAATTTAATGGTCATTTCTTCTGAAAACACATCATCAAATTCTTGAGAACATAGACTCTTCACAGCTGTATCTAATATATCCACTGACACAGAATCTCTTTTATGTTCAAGAATGTATTTGAGAGCATAAATATTCTGAGAATATTTCAAGCCTGTTAACAATTCCTCTATCTGCTCATCTGCTGACATAAGCCCTTGTTCCATTAATTGAAGTATAACTTTAGGAAAATTGCCTTGATTTACAGTGTTACTCGGTGTTGATGTCATTGAAAAAGCACTAGGAACACTTGTCATGAGAACGTTGTCTGATACATAGCTGGTTGTTGAGCTAGAACTGATCGAGTCAGCTGTAAAGGGAATTGAGCTTTCAGTCTCCTACAAAGTAAATAGTGGTTTTGGTTAAGAACAAATAAATGGAATATTTAGCATATGTTTGCTTTTCTATACCTCATATGCCATTGCGCAGAGCGGTCACTTTTGTCACTCACTAGTGCTTGATGGTCAATCAACATATTTTTCGACGATCTTTGCTATTTATTCCTATTGGCAGTGCTGTGTTATTCGCATGGTGTGACATGCTCATTGACGAATGTCACATGTGTGTGCTGCTATTATTAATAGTTCTCGCCTCGCCACACATAAAGTGTGCAATGGATTCCAACAAATAATTTGCAGATTGACGGAGATACATTATAGAAATAGGTGCACGACTAGCTATGGGGCGTATCTTCATGTTCCCAATAACACTTTAACAGATCATGATCTCCTCTCAACTTGCTATATGCATTTATTACAACTGATAAACAAAGGTATAACAAGTCTTCACAAGATGTATAATTTTTCTGTTATGACACGGCTTCGGTTCTTAATTTTATCTAACACTAAACTCCTCCTATTCTTTCCTGCAGCCATACACGCACCCATGTTTTATCACAAAATCCACCATGGATGACCGTTTGCTTTATGCAATCACCAAGTACGTACAAACGTTTCTCGATCTTCACAATGTACAAAGTCTGCAGAAGAGTATGAAGAGGTAATTACACTTACAGAACGAATGTGAGTCAAGTATTGGTTGGGATGTTTGGTTGATGAGTACGTTTGGGTAGTGATGATCGTACGTTAGACTATCAAGCTTAGTTTGATATTCTGTGCACTATGGTTTATCGGTAAGTTTGAAACTTGAAGAGTAATGACTTTAATTTATTTGCCTACAACAAACAATTTTAATCCCAATGTTTTGATCAGCGAATTGGAGTAGTATATATACAATAGTTGCAAGCAGTATGATATTGACAGGTAGAGTCACAAATTGTATTTTTGGTAAAGAGTTGACCTGAGCAAAGAATGAATACCCATTAACTAGCGAATATCGTTTTTTTCCGGCAGGCTTTTTTAGTCTGTATCAGGTCACTCATCAGCGGCATTGTGATTTACGCTTTCAAACTGGCTGTTGTTTCAACGAAGTAAACGGAGACGTAGTCGGTCTCTATATTTGATTTCTCTTTTGGGTTTGTTGTTCGTTATCTTCGCTTCTAAACATTGTTTACGTATTCATATCAACCAAATTTCACATTGTGCTCTCTTTTTATAGCCTAATCGGAATTATTCTAATCTCGTCAGCAGAATGATATTCGAGCTAGGCATGTCGCGTTTCAAAATACTTGGCGCTTTCTCCTGTGGATGTTATACCGTTTTTAATTTACGCAAAAAAGACGAATCTCGAGTAAATATGCCCTATTCTTTGGTTTTGCTGGGTTATTCAACGCCTTTATTTTCTGGCCATGATTTCTCTTGTTTGATGCGGCTGGAATAGGAATAGAAGAGTTTGAATTACCATTTTTTGGCGAACTTTTGATTATGTCAATGCATTACTTGGGACATTTGCCTCGAATTATTTTGGTTACTGTCAATGGGGATGTATTTGTAAAAAGAATTGTTATGGCTGGTTCATATTGGCTGGGTGGTATTAATTGGATTCGTTGGAGTAAACATTGTGTGTGTTGAGGAGGTCGAAACGCAGAACAGCAATGTGCTTTAATGTGATTTCAAAACTTGAAAGTCTTCATCTACCCACTTGCTCGGATCGGCGGCCAAAGTCTCGCTCATTCGTACTTTACCCTACAATATATATCCACCTCGTTCATCAGAACAGATATCAAGGTCTTCGTCGGCTGTAAGATCCGTCTTGAAGAAAATTGCCGGATTGTTCCTCTGAACAATATTAATATGCAAAAGCCGAGTTTGCCGAGAATACTCGATGGAGCAGAAGTTTGACTATGACTTAATCCATGGTTCCCGTTCTCGTAAGAAAAATATATCTTCGAGTTTACATTTCGTCCGCTACGAGAAGTTTAAGAACCTGTTTCCAATTTACAGATAAACAAACTCAGCGAAATTATGATGGATTGATAAACAAGATGAATACACAACAAAAAATCGCTTCCACCTTACCCCATCGCAACCCACTTCTTCCCCTTTCCATTTTGCCCCACCTCAATATAACCTAATACAGTACCTTGGAGATGTTATCCTTTCTGAAGATTATGGATCCCCTCTTTAGTTTTAGTCTGGCCTTTTGATAGAGCAAGCATGACAATAGGTTAATCTTACATGCATCTCATTCTTTGCTCAACCACTGGTAAGAGTGTCTGTTTAAAATAGTACTAATCCCGACCTTTGTGTTCTACTGTAACTGGAGTTCCAGGCAGGTGATGAGATTAGGAAGGACATTTAGAGGAGGTAATGGACAGTCTGAGAATGAATTGTCTTTTTAGAACGGCTCGGTATATTTTTTATATAGTGTAACTTGATTGTAGAAGCCTGTGGGGATCGTATCACTAGTACTTCTTCAAGCTCTTCTGTTTCCGGCTTCACATTACATCAAAGACAGTCCATGAAAGGTCCAACGGTTAGGTTGGCGCGAATCAAAGTACGATGGACAGTTTCTTATTCAAACTGTCTGATAATGTTGGAATTGACAAGATATCTCGTGTGAGAATGAACATGGCGGTTCTCATCAGTACCTCTCCTACCATATTTAGTAGTAGTATTTGCCAAATTTGAGGTAGAGGCGTTTAGTGTTAAAGTTTATGAAACGTTTCAGGTAAAGAGGAAAAGTACCAAATGTGTAATGAAAATGGGATGACAAACGGGGCAGCAAGCAGGGTTACAAATGGTATTTAATTCATACAAAAACTTCAAGTGCAACTATCAAATTAATTCTATACGTATCTCTATTTATGAAAACCTAATGTAGGAAGGACCTCGATCTGTACACGCTCGGAGTAAAGGAGGTCCGTAAGCGCGTTAATTAATACGTGCACGTTTCTCAATATGTTCCATTATGTATTTCGATTAATATTATTTTCGAAAAGAACTTACAGTATTGAGAGATTAATTATTACTACAGTTATTAGTGTTATTGTATACCGGAACACTAAAATAATACTAATACTTCTCTTAATTAGACGCGGGTACAAAGCAGTTTTCATAGTAGTGATAATAAGTAACATTTATTATTATTATTATTAACATTTGAATACACATTGACCCAACTAACTCGATTGAGCATCAGACCTGCAAGTACGATAAATAGTACTTTTAGCCTTAAATAACAACTATTAGTAATGTGGGCAAGTGATTGAAGAGAGTGACTAATAATTTGCAACATGTTTGTTGGAATGACATGGACAAGTTTGACATTTATATCTTAGTCTATCAGCTCAGTTGCATAGCTAAAAAGTTCGAAAGCGTACAGTACCATCTACTCTACTCGTTGTGGACTACCAACCCAAAAAGAGTTCCATCTAGTGTGCATTCAAAACCCAAACTTATTCATATTATTAGGCATTAACGGCAGCAATTTGATACTCAGAATTGAGCGTAGTTATTTGCATAACTTTACTGTTATTATTGTTTATGAAGCATTTTATAATAAAATACATACACCGAAAGTGCGGTACAGCTTTTTTCGCCGGCACTCGCATTGATGCATTTCGTATTTATATGTGATACGTATGTTCCTCTCCCTATTCTTGTCATCTATGACAAAGCAAGACACAAAGGCTGTTAGTGGCGTTTATCAAAACAATTCTTTATTTCAACGTTTTAGTACTTACATAGTTCACGCGACGGTTACTTACATATATGCACTTGTCATTGTACAGCAGTCATTTAAAATCGTATAAAGGTGGTTGCCTAGCTTCTAGACAATAAAATCATAAACGTTACAAGCAAAGAATAAAACAAATTTTATTTTTGCGCTTGACATCAATCGCACTTGGCCTAAATAATGCTAATAAAGCATAAATCTCGATATAACCACCGTGATTCATGTTTTTCAATAAGAATACTTCTTCGTTTATGCTCCCGTATTACCCGACCGATAAATACGCAGCAAGTTCGTGATCATTACTCCTAGGTACGCATGAATAGCATCGACCGTAATTCAAATTTTTGTCTTGAACATATTTAATAATATTATTACGTACGCGAAATACATATGCAATACAATAAAGTAGAGTACGCTCGCTTAAACAATGTTCGCGTTAATTATATATGGCATGTGTGATGTCAGGGTAACAATATTGCTTATAATCAATCATTTTTATACCAGTTGAAAATGTTTCAACTTTCAAGTTACGTTCCATGCTAATACTATCAAACTTTTCTTCCGAATATAAACAAACCCAATAAAGACGTACGTCTGACTAAAATAGAGTTAAAGTTAGAATGATTGAACAAATTTACACCAAATCGATGAACAAGTAAACTATACCTTGCTGATAGCAAACTCTATAGTAATGTCATCTTCAGACAAAACATCAACCACGCATGGTAAAATATATTCAGTGTCATCGTAGTAATTACGTTCAATATCCGCAATATATTGTATTTCTTCAGTTGATGTTCTTATCTACAAATAAAATGTTTATATTATTTACAATTAAGACTGAGAATAAACAATTCTTATCTGATACGTACTACGATTGCAATTGTCATTACGTCCCGATAATTCCTCAACAAAATGCCAAGCTTGTATTTGTTTGGAGGTACTCGGAATATGGGTATTGTTAACTAACATATTTGTTTATTAGTCAATATTCACGACATTGTACAAAACATTAGACCAAAAACACTTACATTGTTAGATCCCTCAAGGTACAAATATCCCTCGTGACTATTAAATTAAATAGTAAAGTATTAGTATAGTACAATTATAACAAATAGTTATTATAATTACTTACTCGTCACATCCACTGATATCATCAATATGACTTTCATGCACAAAATGTGCTTTCAAATAACCTGATAATAATAAATTTAGCATGCATAATAATATACAAAATTATGCAATCAAGTGTAATAGTAACTCTTACTTTTATGCATATAATAAACTTTTTTATAAAACGCGTTTGTATGTTGGTAATTATACCGAGTATTGTTATATGTGTCATACCAAGTTGCAGCAGTGTTGTACCATCTGGTGTAGTCATCTGCCCCATACTGATGCTTACACAGTAATTGCCATTGATTGATATTAACTAACTTATCCAACTTGTATGTTGCTTGGTGAGGACAACTGTCCACAAGAGTCTTGAACCATTCCACATCAAAGTGCTCAAGTTTGTTTGCAAATCCATTGATTAAATCAAATGCCTTTTTTTGCATATATAAATGCCTAATATGCCCAATATCTTGTTCAACCTCCTTCCTATTCTCCAAACCTACATGTGCCACTAAACCCAAATACCAAGCATCATTGTAAACTTTGTTTACTTCAATTGCTTTCTCAATATCTAACAGGGCTTTTTCAAAATTTTTCATATCCAACTTGATCTTTGCTCTATTACATAGTGCCACATAGTTTGTGGGATCTGCTCGCAATATCTGTGTATAGATATTCAAAGCCTTTTCCAACTTGTTATTCTCATATGCAGTTTTAGATTTTAGAAACAATTTGTATATATTTGGTGCTGATAATGATTTCCAAATTGAACTCCATGTAGTAGTAGATTCAGGACCATATTTTCTCGTCCTGTTTTTTCTTTTTTGTTTTTTAATGTCATCATAGTCATCAAATATTTTTTGATCTGCATTAATATTGCTTCCAGCATTAGCATCATAAACATCTTGATAATCAGTGTCAATAATGTGATGTTGAACATTATTGTATATTGTCTGTTGTGGCAAATAATACACTTCATCTCTTCTAATTTCACTTCTGCAATAAGGGCATTCTGAGTTGTTTAGTGATAAAAAAGCCTTTGAGCTAATAATGTGTTGACAATTAAGCTGATAAAAGTCACCAACTGTTTCACAGACAATAGGACATGTTAAATCTTCTGCAATATAGTCAATTGGATGTTTTTCAACACTTTTCCCTTTCCCTTTTCCTTTGTCTTGATGTTTTATATTTTGGGTGTTTGTCATTATTTGATCTGGCAGATATTTTAAAATCATTTTTGATTCAACTTCTAATTTATCATTTAGGTAATAGTACATGCTAACTGATCTTGGTACATCACAGCCAGAAATATCATCAGTTGTTGTAACAAACAATTCATTATTTTTGGCTCCAAGACTCAACAACACTTCAATGGATTTGAATTGAATAGATTCAGTGATAGTGTTATTCAATGAGTCTAATGCTATGTAATAACAAATAGCTTGTGTAGTTGTAGAACATGTTTTTTGGATCAGTTGTTGGATAATATCTAAGATGCCAAACCAGAGTTTATCACTAACATCCTGATTCTCTGCTGCATTTTCGGCATAACATAAACTGATATGATACCAGAGATACTCAAGAAGCACCCTTTCTTTAAAACTCATTGAAATATTTGACTCTTTTTGTTGGTACCATTTGTCAAGACTGTCTTGCAATATAATAAGCCTTCTCCAAGTCATATACCATGGCTTGCCTGATGCTTCAACATAAAATGCTTCTTTGAAATACTTCCAAGATCTCTCTATGTCAAAATCACCAAGAGGGACATCAACTTCCATAGCTAATTCAGGAACAGCAGCAAGTAAGCCTTTTAATGCTGTAACGGCCTGGTCAATATTTGTCTGGTAATGGTTTTCAACACTACAAACAGTATTTAATGTATTCTTAATGAGTTTGAGAAGGTATCTGATATTGTAATTGCACTTGTGTAATTCATTAGATTCTGCAAAATTAGGTTTCCAAATTTCTCCTCCACACTGCCTAATTGCTGAATGTGTATTCTTGTACTTGGAAGTAGCTTGTCTAATACCATCAATAAAAGGCTGTGTAAATTGACAATTATTTTGACACAACAGTTCCAGTATTGTTACAATAATCCGCAATTGCCATTCCAACTTAATAGCTGTTTCTCCTGAGAACACTTCATCAAACTCTTGAGAACATAGACTCTGCACAGCTGCATTTAACATCTCTACTGACACAGAATCTCCTTTGTGTTCGAGAATATATTTGAGTGCGTAAATATTCCGAGA